GCCGGGGCAGGAGTTTTACAGAGGTGGACAAATTTGCCAAAATGTTCTTAGTTTGGCAGGACATCTGTGTGTGCGGCAAGATGAGCCAGCCGTATATCACGACGGGTACCACCAACGGGAAAACCTACCGAGACGAGTGCCTCCAGAAGCCCCTCCTACCCTTCCTACGGTCTCACGGAGCTGAGACGCTGTTTTGGTTGGATTTGGCATCCTGGGATTATTTTCCTTGAAACGGCGATATTGTCAATACCACGGAGTTATTGACAATTCGATTATTGTCAATCATATTGCTCAATTTTAAATTGTTTTTCTTTGTATAATTTTGGTATCATATTTTTATCTAGTACAATTAATGGTCAAGTTGTATGTTTAGTGATGTTGGCAAGCGTTGAAATAATCGATTCATTGCCATCAGTTGGCAGCAAACGCCGTCAAACTGCATTATGCTTAAAGTCTCATGAAAGAGAAGGTAGAAAGGAACCATTTTTAAATGAAAATGTTTAGACATATGATTTTGAGCTTACTGTAGTAGATATGATTGGAGCTTACTATAGTAGATAGAGTTAGTGTGAAATAAAGAATGAGTAGAATCGAGTGAGCGTGAAACGTGAATCTCATTGGTTCTAGAATTTTGATAGGTTAGCAGCTACAAATATGACGTACCAAAGCTCGTTGACGGCAACATCGCTCAATCTATCACCTATCAGAAACTCAGCTCGAACCAGGAGGTGGCCGAAGTTGATTCCTCCGTGAACTGATTTGAAGCTTCTCGGTGCAACTACCATCGTGTTGACTGCGGTCAGTTATAACACTGTGTCGACACCGCTGTTGACTACGATGCCCAACAGGAATCATTCGAAGACATTGACCAGTGTTTGCATTCCATGGTAGAGGCGATATCCCGAGCCAGTATGCAGACAGGTGAGCAATACTCTAAACCTTGACAGATATACCAAAGACCTTATAAGACTCCGTAACACCATCCGAAGGCAGTACCAACGCCTGTCCATAATTGCAATCGCCTTACCAAAATTATCCAAGCCAGGATGGTGGATCCCAGTACTAACGACTTTGTTAGTAAGATCCACTCTCTCCCAGATTGTGCGTTCTGGAAACTTACCAAAGTGCTTAAAAACAAGCCCATTCCACCACTGATACCGCTGAATCGTTCCGATGATTCAGTGGTTCATCTGATAACCCTGTAGAGAAGGCTGCAGCGGTAGGTCTACACTTCGTCAGCTCCCACAATCTCGGACAGAACAACATAAGTCCGCACGAGGCTGTGGTTGCTGGAAACGCAACCAACCTTTATCATATTCCCAATCTTTCCTGAGGAATCCAACATTACAGCTGATGAACTGCTGGCTAAAATATGAAGGCCCCAGGTATCGACAACAACTCAAACCTTTGAGTTCCACTGATTTTCAATCAGTGTCTCTGGCTATTTCCCCTCGGGATAAAAGTCAGCTAAAGTCTTCCTCTCCTTCAAGTTACCGACCCGCAGCCTTCTCTCAGGGGTTTCCAAGCTGTTCAAAATTACAGTTTACAGCCGGCTTCTAAAATCTGCTGAAGAAAACATCATTTTACTCGAGGAGCAGTTTGGTTTTCGAAAAAGTCGATCGACCGTCCACCAACTGACCCGAGTAACATACATTCTTAGACGGAACAAGGCTGTTTCTAAAACATCTGCTACTGCATTGTTAGACGTCGAAAAAGTGTTTGATAATGTCTGGTATGATGGCTTGGTGTACAAGTTGCATCGATACGGTCTTCCGATCTTCCTCGTGAAGATCATACAAAATTATCTATCGGACAGGACGTTCCAGGTCTCTCTGAATGGGAGGATGCCTTCAATATCGGAATTATCCTTGGGCCCATCCTGTTCAATCCTCCGATATTCCGACTCTCCCTTATGGTGGATCGTTGTGTCTGTTTGCAGACGACACATCCATCGTCTACAAGGGTAGGGTCATCGGAGCTCTGACTACCAAACTCCAGAGAGGCTTGGATGTCCTGTCTGAGTATTTCAACAGCTGGAAGATCCGTATCAACGTGGCAAAGACCCTGACTTGTTCCATCTGAGAATAACAAAATCTGCCTAAACGGCACAGATGATCTTGATAAGATCATTGTATCCACTTATCAACAGGAAGTCCACCCTGTCCCTGAAAAATTGGCTTGTTGTCTACAAGCAAATCATCCTTCCCGTAATCGAGTACGGTTTGCCGATCTGGGGGAGTTGCACAAGATGCTTAGGATGATCCTAAACAGTCCTCTATGGACGCACATATGTAGAACTTCATGCAAAATAACTGACTAAAAGTTGACCCCTCTTTTGTGATGCCTCAGTGCTATAACTGGTATAGTTGGCCATCGATCTGTCAAAACAAAATTTTCATGATATCAACACTGAGCGTTCACAAAGACCAATGTCGAAAACTTAAACAATGACTTCTTCTGTAAATTTCTCATCGCTCAAAGTCAATCCATGTATGCCATGTATTATCGGATATGAGGACTCTCCTTCTACATAATCATCGTGGTGGTTTACTTGAGTGATATTCCATTCTCGAGAAATTCGCGGAAAAAGTCATTGTTTACGTTTGCAACATTGACTCTTATGAAATGCATACTCAGTAAGCATTGACGTTGACGACGACTCTTCACTCCACCATGATATCAGTGAGGCACCGTCTCTTCACGCAAAGCTTGACAGGATCTTATAAAATTTTCATAGGAGTGAAAGGGTAAGGAAATTTCCACCATGTTTCATGCATAGACAGACGTTTGCTGAGGGGGATTTACTATAGGAGTGAAGAGTTACAGAGTGGCCGATAAGGCCATTTGAAAGTTTCAAGGTAATGCTGCTATTCTTTTTTCGACTAGCTCTACAGGGGGCTTATCAAAGGATTTTTAACTAGTATTTTCAAATCTGTCAGAAGCCAATCAAGAGCGTAATATTGTTCACTGTGCTTTTAGTAAGTCTACTTATGAATGTTATGATTTCAGCACGAACTATTCTGTTGATGGGTATTAACGTTTACCTTTAATAAAAACTTGATTTTTTTCTAAAAAAAGTTAGGAATAAAACAAGGATAAGTAGGCCAGTTTTAGGCCCCATTGGTCCTCGAATTGGCCCTATCTTAAATTACCCCTTTTTACATTATTTTCAATTTGTTTCGATACAATGTTCGAACATATCTTTTGTCATAAATCTACGCAAATAAAACCATGAAATGTTGGGGGTGACCCCGGCTTAGAGGTTAGCAACCATACCTCTCACACCAAAGTCACGAGTTCAAATCTCACCCGGACAAGTCACGAATGACCCATAAGTGATAAAGTAAATATAAAAAAACCATTTCGCTCCACAGTGCTCAAGCGGTTCCAAGCAGTGGTGGCACGAGTCCTGGAGTTTAACATTTTTTCCTTAACATTTGATACTTTTTGCGATAACCATTGTGACGACACACAAAAACAAACTGGCAAGCGGCAAAAATGTCATGACATTTCTAAACTGTTTTCTGCCAGCGACAGAACATTTTCGCACAAAGAAGCAGACAAGACCGGCGGCGCGCGCGACATAAATTTATGTCGTGTAGAATTTTACTGATTTCTGGCTAATTACTGCATTTATTTGATGTTTATTGCATGGAATTGAAAGATAAGAATGAAGACTGACCACTCATAAGCATTGATGTTAAAATTATGCGTAAATAAGGGAGTTGGTAATTTACTGTCACACGCAAGCCTGCAGCAAAAATTTCATTACAATAAACTGTTTGGAAAAATCAGGCTGCGAGATTTTATTTATTCTCTATCTCCGCTGTTCGCTTGGAATGTAGTTATAAACGGCCGCCCGTGTGCTGGCTGTCTTGTTTCGCTCTGGACGATGGTTTTTCAAAAAATGTACTGTTGCCACCTCTGGTTCCAAGTATAGGTTTGAACTGATTTGGTAAGAAACTGACTGAGCACAAACCATTTGAAGTTTATATGGAAATTACTATGGGGAAACTAAATTTTACCTTCGTAGTCTTCTATCCTTCTTCATATTGCACTGTTAAAAATTTCTATAGCTATGGCATAGCTACAAGTTTGTGGGATGTTGATTTTCAGCCAAACATCAAATTAAATAGTTATTAATTGTTTTACTAAAATGAACTATGACCATTTTGTTATGGCAAGTTTTGCTATAAGAAATGCTCCTCGTGTTTACTAGCGAAATTCACATCAAAGGTTGATTAATTGCGTAGTTTTTTTTTTCAAAAATATCTTTCTTTTTTATAAATTTCAAATGACTTTCATTAAACAGATTTATGCTACCACGCACATAGTATGTTTAAAGTGCAACGTATGCCAGCAATTTTTCGTCATCATATGTCCGCTATGGGAATTTTACTCCCATTTCGCCTACAATGGAAATGATAGCATTTTGCCAAATAATTAAGTCATTACCACCCCCAGTTAGCTAACTGTATTGCACATGTTAATACACATAAAAAATCTTTGAGTCACTTGTCCCTGAAAATTCATGAGTTAAAATCATGAACTACTTTACCATTGTCGATTGCGGTGATTAATTACAGACTGCATGTATCTTAGCTGTAAGCGGCTGTCTATAAACTTCGTAGAAACTTTTGATTAAAAATTGCTAAACATGATCATTTCAAATTCGTTCTCCAGTCGCAAACTCCTAGCAGGGTATAAAATGTGTTCATTATAGGTTACCCGTTAGTATGAAAAATCATATAACAATAATTAACAACCGTTTCCCGATTGCGACAAAAAAAAACAGTATTTATGTGTGAGCATGTCTGTCTTAATGCAATTAAAAAAAAAACTAACATTCGTCTCCCCGACGGGGAATTGAACCCCGGTCTCCCACGTGACAGGCGGGGATACTGACCACTATACTATCGAGGATTTGATAATAAATTTAACCGTTATACAAATTTAATTATTCATATTTCTAGAAAATTTCTCAAAGTAAATTATAATTTCATATGAAAGTGGACCATCTTGTTGTAATCGCTTCATTCTTGGTGGAAGTTATATTTAGTTATAAACTAGGTTACTTACGGTCAAACACGTCTGCGCTCCACTGAGGGGTGCTAGATAAAGTGGAACTTGCCACACGCTTCTGATTATTGTTTCTCTTTTTCATTACCTCTGGGCGATTCACACGACAAAAAACTACATTGACGAACAGAACAAAATAAATGTTAAACGAATACCTATACAATATTCCTACATACTAAATGCTAATTAGACTTAGCAACTAAATCAGGCAGACGACGACACGTTCGCATATCGAACATGTCAATTTTAATTTTAATCAGCGTGACTCCCAACCATCGCCTTTTGGTTGATTACCGGCCAATCGTCGTCACTTCGCACAGTCTGCTCTTTGACCTTGCTCGCCGCCGGTTGTTTCTTCTTGATGTACGCTTGGTAGTAGAAATCGAGGAAAAGCACAAACATGAAGAGGTTTTGCGGAAGAATTACAAACACTGGCCACATGGGGAAGTCGCAATTCGGTTGGAATACTAGCACGAACCACTGCAGGAATATTAGGCCGAATTGAATCTAGAAGATACGAATTAGATTAGCTTCAATTCGATCTGTTATGAAGTAATGAATGTTTCGTACGATTTGCAACTGGGTGATGTGCTTCTTCCACCAAACGTTGCCCTTAAACTTGGGACTGATCGACGTCAGGAAGTAGTAGTAATACATAACCACGTGAACGAAACTGTTGATGGCTCCCATGAACACGGAATGTCCTCCTAGAAAAGGCAAGGGCGATTAAATCGGCATTTGATCATAATTCTTCAGTTTAAAAACAAACCTGGAAACCACTTGACTCCACTCCAAGACAGCATGACCATTCCAGTGTGGTGATAAACGTGAAGGAAACTGACTTGATTCTGCTTCTTTCGTAGCACGAAGAACACCGTATCCAACAAGTCCATCACTTTCACCAGGAAGTAAATGTGACATCGCCGAGCGATCAATAGGGGCACCTCCGTATATGAATAATCCACCGGTTGACAGAGAAGGCTATAGCCTCGCAGGTATCCAAGTCGGAAGGCCTGTAAAAATTGATAGTCACAAAATTAATGCAAGTCGTTTGTTGAATATTCTGCGCACGCTACCTCCACAAACAGAAAAAGACATATAATCACTTGAACCAGATTGTACACCTTGATGAAATTATCAATCTTCATTGGTTTCCTATGTTCCATCCACTTTGGACCCCATTTTAAAACGAACATGAGATACAATCCCAAAATCGCTACTCCTGGCCAAGGCGTTTCCATCAACAGCATATTGTTTACCCTTGGATCTGGAATTCGAAAATTTCGGTCGTCACCAATTTTGCTCTAATGAACCTCAAAAGATCACTATTACCGCTAGCATCGTAGTTGACGTAGTTGTAAAACGAAGCCATGTATCGTAGCACCAACATCTTGTCCAACTTCAAGATCTTCAAGAGAACTGCAAAATTTCCGCCGCTTAGCGAATCAACGCACCCGTACGGACCCGACGCACGTGCACTACTGGACGGTGCCTTCTGAAGTTCCGTCTGGAACTAAGGTTGTCATCGGTTCGCGCAAAAAAAAATACGTCGAATCATTATGACAACATTTTCAAACCAATACCAATGTCCCTAACGGTTACACCAATTCCAGCAGTTTTCCCTCAACCGTTGAAATACAATGCAGTCTGCCTCTTGGTCATTACTATTTTAACTATATGCATTTATACAACAAAGGAAACGAAATTAGGTACAACGCTCGCTAGAAATCGCACGCGCAACACCCTGTTGACAACCGTAATGATGCCTACAATGAAAGCAGGAAGCGCCGCGCAGTAGGCTAAATTCTAAATCAGTGTCTTTTCCCTGACTACCGTGAGGCAAGACCACCCAACCAACGTCCGGTCAACACGTAGTCAAACCAATAAGTAGAACGGCGAATCCGTCTAAGGGAAAGGTCTTACAGTGGACTTTGATGAAAAACACGAGTGGGTCGAATTTTCCGTTCATTTTTATTCAACAAATACCTGCGTAAATTGCTGGGGATGTTACCGTGTAGTGATCTAGGGCAATGTATCATGTAGTGTTGATGTAAGTATGAAGCACTCAATAACGGTAGTTGAGGTCAAGTGTCTGTAGTAAATTCGGTTCGTTTGTCTTATTTACACTTACAATTCATCAAAGCGAAAATGTCTGACAATACAGTCAATGAACTGAAGAACATATTGCTCAAAGTAGCCAAAAGCTGCTAAATTAGCCTGCCTTGGCAACGCATACTGATATTGAACCCTGAAATGGACGCGAATGGGCAACTACCAAACACCTTACATTCTGATTCTATTGAATTTTATGTTTTGGTACCGAGTCCCATTCTTAGATGCAAGGAATCGCAATATTTACACGATTTGACAAATCTCAGGTAAGCATGGCACTTGATGTTTGAATATTATGTACACTCCATTCTGTTTTTTTTTTTCGATTTCATCTTTTTTTTCATTTGCTCTCATTTGAGTACAGAAATTTAAAAACCACTTTATTTTTGTTTACTGATTTTTCTAACCAAGTTCTACTTAAATTTACTTGCAATTTAAGATCACGCGATCAAAAATACGGACGAAAAAAAAATTGCGTTATTGAAAGCATAAATGAAAAAGAAAGCTGTTGCTTCATATGAGAACCTGCGATTTGTCATTTACAGTAAATATTAACGGGAAGCTTACCACCCAAAATAAAATACAGATTTTTAGAAAAATCTAATCATAACACAAAGTTGAACTCCGATTTTTTAAATTCAAATTAATGCATTGATGACATAATGTGTTAACATACAAATTAGAATTGGAGAAAAAACAGATTTTTTTTTCTAAACGTATATTGATTGGTTGGTTGGTTGATTGTTTATTTTTTTAATATTGATTGTTATCTTTTTTTAAATCTTTAACTCAATCGCTAGACTTTTGAAGTTCAATGAATCCAGTTTAAAACTTTAAAACATGCGTTGATGATTTTTTTTTACTTAATTACTTCTAATTACTTTTAAGCACATATTATAACTTTAATTAGGGGATTGTTTTTACTATCGGGCTAATTGAGCTGAAGGCCCTAAGAATGCAATTAAATTTTGCCCACAGGTATAGTTTATAATCATGTAAAAGATACAAAAATATCACGTACTTTGTAAATTTATAACTCCTGAACCAAACATCGAAGAACAATCAGCCAAGCAAAACAATATAGTGGTTCTTAGAATTTCGTAAAAAAAAATTACTTTTATTCCTTCGCAAAATATTAGACCCGTATTTTTTTTTATTTTGTCATTAATGTCATCAATGACTTTTTTTCAAAAATAATTGTTTACAAAAACAACTTTTTTCAAAAACTATATCATTACTTTTGAGTCACTACGCTAATTTCAAAAATCAACATATCAAATGAAAGTTAGTTAAAAATGCTTTTTCAAGAAAATATAATAAAATTCAAAAATTGGGATTTTTATGGTTTTTTCATGGTTTGTATATAGAGGGCGCAATTGTTTTTATATTTTTCCTTGAACATTAGACTTTTTTACACAACATATAAAAAAAATCAGCGATGTGTATTCGTTCGTTTTTTAGTTATATATTTTTTTTAAGTTATCGTATTTTTGGTTTTCACTCAATACTCAAATTTGAAATTTTCACTCCAAAGTGCTCAAACGGTTCCAAATTAGTGAGAAACTGACTTGGCACAAACTGGCACAAAATTCACCGGTTCACTCTACTTTATAATATGATAGCTGAGCTTGTAAAATTTTTTCACAGCTACAACTTTGTTGAAGACCATTTTTCGATCAAATGTAAGGAACAAAAATTATTATTGATTCAAGTCACTGATGTCTTATGATTATGCTCAATCAACTGTTCAGCAGACATCATTGGTGTTTATGGCGCGTAAAAATCATGGCTACTATGTCACTCTGCAGAATACAGTGTTGCCGACAATACAGTTGCTTAATCTTGCCATAAGATTATCAATCGCTTAAAAAAATAATAACTATTTAATTTGACGTTTGGCTGAAAATCGATTTTCTGCGATTTTCCCATAGTAATTTTCACATCACTTTTTTTATGTTTGAGCCATTAAATTATGCTCCTACGAAAAGTCCTATCTCTAACACACCCGCACTTGTCAACTGATATTTAGTTGTAGCTACCTAGTATAGTTCTCAGTTGTTCCTGCTTGTTATTGTAGTTAGGTACGTATGAGAGCTTGTTGTTCTAAAACCACACCACACACCAACCGGAAAAAGCTCTTTACATGCTCTTCTAACTCTTTCACCACCTGTTTCCCACCCACTTGCCCTAGCCCGTCCCGACCAACTTGAAGTAGGCAGAGAGCTTCCTGAATTGTCTACATTTCCCTTTCCACCGTCCATACGCTGATACCTGCAACAAGCCAGGCAGGTGTAATGTGTGAAAATAGGTGAAATAAATAAAACCCCTCGTCACTTCACGTGCCCTCCCTCCGGCATCCACACCCAAGCCGATCTAAACCGAATAACATGTTTCCAGATTTCCGGCCAGTGCCGCATAGATGTTTTTCGGAATATTTATTTAGTAATTAATAAAATAATTAATTTCATATCCAGCCAGCACATGGTTCGGAACATCGACCTGAGAGATGGGGATGAAGCATGACCATATCCCAGGAAGTGCGTGCGTGGATGTGGCTGCTGTGTGTGAGTGAAAATCTGGTCGAGAACAAAGAGATTTCCCTCTGACGATGGGTCGAGAGGGATGAGTGGTGAAAATGTCGAAAGTGAGCATGAGAAGGGGGAAACGATTGTGATAATGTTATCATGTCAACCTTCTGTGCTTGAATTATTTGTGATGGTCAGCGGATGGGCACGGTAGAAGAGAGATGGTCCCAGGATCGGAGATTTAATGATGTTGCTGAGTTGGCTGATGATGGTGGCATTTCGGGGGCCAGGTGAAAGCATAGGTCGATTTCCGAGTGTGGGCATTTGATTACACATTATACATTTATTATAAAACAGCATGGATGGTCTTCCGATGGATATGGTTGGATTTCAACCGCCACCGCTGCTGGTGCTGATTCTGCGGGGGTGGCCATGGTGGTTTGAAATCCCATAGCGAATCAGTGACGCAGACGGTGGGATCAGAAGAGAACGGGAGAGGGCACGGGACAGTGTAAATCGGATGACGGGCGCCAGGCCGGAACCCACCATCCAACCAGGGACCGGTGGGAGTTTGGAATATTAAAAATCGCTGAAATGTTGTGGTATTTGTGTCAATATGTTGTAACGATAATTTATTGCAATCAATAATTATCTGGTTTGATGGAGAGTTGCCATCAGGATGCATCTGACTGACACCACGTGCACTTTTCAAGTTCCGAGGGGAGTTGAATGTGTCGCGTGTTTAATTGCATGTGGAATCATTATTGTTTGGAATTGATTGGCTGGGTCTGGTTTCGATGAACGGTTTTCGAAATTCGTTCCATACAAGTTTCAAATAATTTAATAAGCTTAGATTTTAGGACAACAATAAACAAAATAACTAGATTAAGATTTGCAAAATTTCTAGAGATTTTCATGAATTTAATAAAAAAATACTGTCCCGGGAAGCAATGATCATTTTTCTCTAAACCAACATTTAAAAAAAAAATAAGAAGTTTCAAACTTTCCCATCCTAGTCGGCGCCGCCGGGATGTTCTGAGGCATAACATCTCTGATCACGCCTTTTTTCAGAAGGGAAGTAAAGCCGTTGATCTCCGGTTCATGAGTTGATGGGTCGATAGGTAGGGTCCAGGTGTGGCAGCTGCATCCCTGGCGTCGGTAGCATTGGTGCTCAGCACGGAAAACAAGATCGACAAAAAACAAATCAAAGGAAAAAAAAAACTTTCCCACAAATTTGTAACCGTTTGGTCACAAGTTCATAGGTTTTTGTCATTTATATTATATATTCAGAACCTTCACGTTTCTTGTGCAAGAACAGCAGTGATAGGGCTCTGTACCGCTGTGAAAATGTTGTGCCGTTACGTTATGTCCACCATAGAGCTACAAACAACCATACAAAACAAGGATGATGGGATGAAGGAAAATTGGGAGAAAATTGCCCAAAATCGGCCTCTTTTTAATATCAGGCGTCCGTGTGCTAAGACGCATTTTAATTAGCTAAGTGCAGTGGTTGGTGTTTTAGAACGAGAACCAGGACCCCACTACCCGAGTAGCACACTTTCATCACAATAAGTTACAGCAACTTGTTTATGACTGAAATAAGTCGTATATAAGTTTCTACAATTGATTTGTGACAAGCGTGCTACTAGGGTAGCAGCAGCTAGTGTGCGCTAAGGAAATTTAACGTTCAGGTAGCTAAATACCCTGCATCTAAAACCGTAAATTAATTACGTATTCGTCCGATATGACCTCTTTTATGTTGGACCTTAAAAAGGTCATCCGTCAGCAAACGGCCGGCTCGTGAAATTGGAAACAGTTTCCGAGCCTAATTGTCAAGAACCAAACCCTACTATCTGGCCAAACGTAGGTCATAATCTCAAAGGAGCTTTCCCTTCTCGGCTTGATCAAGGTGGCCTTGCCACGGTCGGCCGATCGTGCCAACGAAGGACGACGCCTGCCATCCCACCGTCCAGCAACG